AGCAGGAGGGAGAGGCTGGGTCCCCACGGAGCCAGCCGTGGCCCCCAGGCTGCAGGGATCTGGAGGGATGTGTTTGGTGTGGAGACACCCCGGCCTTTTGGGAAAGAGCCTGCATCCCTAGCAGAAGGGGAGCTCGTGGTTCGGAGTGTAACTTGCTCATGGCTCCTTCCGTGGCCTCGCCTGTTGCTCAGACACATGTGAAATGCAGTGTAGCTCTAAGCCCTCGCCCTGCGAGGGCCTGGCGTGCTGCTGCCTGGAATTGCGTGTCCCTGTGGCATATCCAGGCCCCCGGCTGGCGGCCGAGGGCGGCACGGCTCCGCCACACGCGCCCGGGGCTCTCCCCGTGTCCCGCGGCCCCTCAGCGCGGGGCCTGGCGCAGCTCGAGCCCTCCAGCCGAGCCGCCACGGCTGCGTCACACCTCGGCCCGGAAAACAGAGGATTTTCCATTAAAGTCAGCCGGCACGCTGGCTTTTCCGTTCCAAACAGCCTCTGAACCTGCACCCTTGGAGCTGAGTAAACTTCCCCACTTCCCTTCCTCAGGGCCGTGTGTCCCCAGCAAGCTGGGGGAGAGCGTTGCAAGCGCCCCGTGCCCATTTCTGGCCTGCAATTTTTTTTCTCTCTTTCCCCCTTTTTTTTTTCCCCTTTCTTTTTCTTTTCTTTTTTTAAAAAATAAATAAATCCGAGGCGGCTTCGTCCATCTGTTGAATTTGGTGGCGCGTACAAAAATATCCACTTGCAGAGCGGAGGGAGAGGAGGAGGGAGCTGGTGGAGCTGAGAACGCACAAAAAAGAAAAAAGGGATGAATTTGTCCTTTTACGTGCATGGAGGCATTCCGGGCTCTGTCCGGGGTTACGTGTTTCCTGAGTTTATTTAAAAAAACATATATGAAATGGGTTGATGCGGAAGGCTCCACGTGAACACAGTAGCCTGTGTTCATCCGCTTAAGTGCCTGTCGCGATTCTGGTGCTTAAAGTGCTGTGAAATGGGTTTTCCCGGTGTCACTGAAGGTTAGGGCCACGGCCACAGGAATAAATCCCTGCGGAGCCTCTGCATCCATTGTGCACAGCTGCAGAAGTTATGTAAGCCAGAGGGGGAAATGGGGGGTGGGAGCGCCGGGAAGTGGTAAATAGACTTAAATGCTTTTAACTACCCGTTGTTTTAGCGCTAAGCATTGTCTTTGTATCACTTGCCTATTTGCTGGTGAAAATCTGATCCTTCTTCTGGATCTATCTGCTTCAATTAGTATTATTATTAAGATTTTCTTTTTACACTCCTTTTACTGGGGATATTTAGTCGAAAGGTTCATAATTTCTGCAGAAATAGTGAAGCACTCAGCAGGGTTGTGATGAAGCAGCGAAGGGCCTGCTCGTTCTGGGACAGGTTGTCCCAGCTATTTTAAGGATACTCCAATATCCTGTTCTGCTGATAAATGACTTCATGGAGCTGAGGGGATATTGGATTTTTACCTACTTGCTTTGGACACAGCATGGAGCACTGCCGGCCCGGTTGCTGAAGTGATTTTCTGGTTAGAATAAGGGCTGCTGATCATGGGAAGTATTGCGTGGAGCAAACGGCGTCGTGGCTGAAGGCGCTGCCGCGTCAAGGGGCCGAGCCAGGCAGTGTGAAGGAGTTTTTGCCCCGTATTTCACGCCCTGTTGTGTTACTGCTAAATTTCAGCATGGTGATCTGTACACCTGCGGATATGGTGACATGCTTCACAGAAACCTGTAGGAATGAATCCTCATAAATTCAGCATGGTCCTTTCCTAGAGCTGAGCCATGTCTCCTGGAGAACCATCATCCCCGTGACGGTAGATCTGGAGCTGCATGGAGGTGGATTAGGCCCTCGCACGTCCTCACACCTCCGATTGCTGTGGGGGATGTGTTAGAGCTAAAGTGGACTGTACTTGAGAAAATCATAGCTTAAAGGCAGTGTTCTTTGCAGGAAAGCTTCACAAGGTTTGATCTCGATGTAACTGTGTTTGTAAGCTAGAAATGAAGCTCAAAATGATACTAGGGGAAAAAAAAAACAGATGAGACGGTGAAAAGATGAGCAGCATTGGGGGTAGGCATGTTATAAAAGATACCCCTGGATCAGATGGTAAAAGTGGGTGTAACTTGGTTCTGCATGTTACTTTGGCCAGCGGCAAGCAGAGCCGTCCACTTTGGAGAATGGCTCATGAAGGGGATTCACAGAATTGACCCTGAGGTCCCTGTTTGGCGCTTACTCTAACCCAAAGCTTGAAGGTTTAAGCAGAGGACTGTTCAGTGGAAGTTGTTTTTAGCGGCACCATGGCCGTTTCCCATCGCTGTGGTCACTTCGGCACTGCCCCGGCTGCAGTGCAGGCCCAGCGAAGGCAAGTCTATACCAGATTTAAGAGGCAGCTGCGTCATCTTCTTGAGTTATCTGGAAAGGCAAAAGGCTCTCCGTTTCTGGAACAGCTCAGAGGAAGGGAGGGATAAGTTCCTGATCTGTCTGAGGCAGAGCAGAAATGAAGCAGAGTAATTGCCCATCAGTCAAATACATGGGGAAATGCGCAAGAGAATGAAGAGCTCTGCAGTGCTCTAGCTGCGGTTTTTTCTCAAAGCTTTGCTGGAGCTCTGGGCTTGACTGGATAATGAAGCTAAAGATCAGGAATGAGTTGGACCCCTGGCAGCTCTCTAAAACCATGACTCCGTTTAGGAACAGAGTGCAATTAGAATTGGAAATTTAGGAGCATTTCTTGAAGGGACAAGGGAGGACACTGTAAAAGTGGCACCTGTGGAAGTGAGAAAGCTACTGCTGCTTGGGATGTTGATGTACAGCAGGCAAAATGCTGCCCATTCCCGAGAAGAAACAGCCTCGGGTGTCACCTGAGTGATGGAGGAATGGCTGGTCTTCCGGGCCGGGTTGGTGCCATGGAAACTCGACTAATCCGCTCTTTCTTTCCCTCCAGTACATCGGGAGCCTGGATGTGCCGCGGCCGAACAGCAGGGTGGAGATCGTGACGGCGATGCGGCGGATCCGGGTGAGTGCCGTGAGGACGC